GTGAGACACCTCCCTGAAAGTTTAATACATCCCCTCCCCCCCCCCTCCTCTCTCTCTCTCTCTCTCTCTCTCTCTCTCTCTCTCTCTCTCTCTCTCTTTATATACTATACTCTCTAGTTATTTATATGCAACCCATACATATTACTGAAGTGCAATAAATTCATTGTATTACTGCCTCACTATTCTGCAAGTCATGTCACTGACCAAACTAGAGGTGAGACAGCTGCCTTCAAGTCTAATGCTCTCTGTCTCTCAGACAATTTTTGTACAGTTTCGAGTTATAAATATCCAATCGATAAATATTGCGGAGGTGCAGTAAAGTCAAGGTATTTCTAACTATTCAGCAAGAAAACAAGGCACTGAAGGCTGACCTCTCCACCCTGAGGTCAGAGGTCAAGGTCATGGAGGAGATGTCACAGCACCAGTTACAGGCCCAGACAGATGAGGCTGATAGAACATTTTCAGAGATGCAGCAAAAAGAGGAGAGGTACTGCAAGAAATCAGAAACTTTTATTTACTGTATAAGGCTAATAATAGTGATAATACCTTGCATTACATATACTGAAGCGTCATTTTCTATTAGCATCGTGGATAGCTTACTTATCTTAATACTTGTTGACTTTACATAGTTTAAATTTTTCAACTATTACACTAAATTGAAGCTATACCTCACAAAGCTTTTCTCAGTGCATTTGATACTGGATTGGATAGTTTTTTCTAAGCCAATTATGTAGTATTAAAAAAAAGTGTCTGGGTCATGTTCTTGTTCCATGTTAGGAGGGTCCACCTGGTGCAGGCAGAATACGAAGATAAACTGCAGGCTCTACAGGACAAATATAACACAGAGTGTGGCCAGTACCGAACAGAACTCCACACACTGAAGAGTGACAGGGATAGGCTAAGGGCGCAGCTGGAGGAACAGGCGCTGTATCTCAGGAGTGAGAGACATTTTCATTTCTGTAACATGTTTTTTATGTGAAATTCTATTTTTTCGGCTACTTATGTTTTTTTTAATCAAATTGTTAACTGAATAAATATAATAAATGTTTTACATGATGAATGATAAGTTTTATATCATTAAATTTTGCTTCTACTATTATGTTATCAAGCATTGAGAGAGAGGGAGAGAGAGAGAGAGAGAGAGGTACTACGTGTACATAGAAATTATTTACAAATTCTTACATTTCAGGGCTGACAGGTGAGAATGCTGCCATGTCGGAGTTTGTCCAAGGTGTGGACACCATCGTCCAGAGTCCACCCAAGAGACTGGACAGTTCTAACGGGTCCTGGCCACCAGGGGGCAGCACACCCAGGGAGTTGGCCACATCCTCCTCCTCGTCAGGGCGACAGAGGGACAACGGTCACTCTACTGACCGTGGAAGTGGACAGAGGGACAGTTTAACTGACCGCAGTCTGAGGCTGTCCACTGATAATGGTCATGAGGTAAGTCGGATGGGGCTAAAATGCTTAAAGTCTTGATATTAAGTTCTATGTAACCTGAATTTAAAGAGCTGTGGCAGCTAAATATTACTTTTTCCTTATTAAATCCTTTCAATTTAAACTAAATTCTATATTTTCATATGGTATACTGGCATAAATATTTTTACAATTATTCATTGAATAAAGAATATAATAAAGTCATATAGCAGTTGGGGAAATGCATCATCATGAGCTACAAGTGAATGTGAACAAAATTATACTTATGAGACTTACTTTAAAAAATCGAAGTATTTTCCAAAAAATTCAAAGTAACTGATGGATATAATCTAATAAAAATCTTGGGTGTATAAATTTTTCCAGAGGCCCAGTTCCAGAGCCTCCATTTCAGCACAGTTCCTTGCCGAGGAGCAGCAGAGAGTGGATGACTTGGAGCGCATCGTTAACTCCCATATCCAAGATCTCAGGAAGGACACAGACGCGACAATCAAAAAGTACGTGCGGTGAGGTGAATTGGGCTTCTGTTTGCCCGCTGTAGTAGTATTATTATCAGGGAGAAAAATAAGGCAGCAGTATTGGTTGTGATTATTCAAAACTTTCCAGAAAGTGCACATCTGCTGTCATCTAGAAGTATGTACAGTGATGTAGAGTGCTGCCATCTAGGAGTAGGTACAGTGATAGAGAGATCTTCGTTTGAGTGTCCATTTTATCATTGAAAATCATTGCCAGTGGACTTGGGGGATCTTTGAGAGTATTGCCCTTAGCATTATTTAGGATCATCCAAGGAAAAAACACAGGTGCAGAACTTGGAATTCACCATCAGTACTTGTTATACATATATCAGAAAAATACATACAGGTGCTTTAAAAAAAAAAAAATGCGAGCAGATTATATTAACCGTTGAAATTTAACAAGACAGATCTCAAAGAAACAAAGCTGTTCCTCCAGTCAGTTTCCAAACCAAGAACCCTGTTCCAAGTCACATATTTTAAGGCACTAGAACATATGAGAATACCATATATGAAGGTATCTGTGCCATAAATCCAAAGTTGAGAAGACTAAAAGATTAATTAATGTTCTTATTTATTTGAATTTGTATGTAAAAACATTGTCCAGCAATGAAAAGACAGTCGATTTCCTATTCCTTAAGTAGTCAAAAGTGTGATATTTAAATTGAATCTGTATCGTTTCCTTGAATTTGTGAAGTATTTTTAATTTGACTGAATTTTTGTTGTATTTTAAAAATGTTGAAATTTGAAAACATTTTGTATAAATCGACTCAGTTTATGTAATGAGAAGATAGGTTAATAGCACTTTTTTTAAAAAATTATAGTCATCATATATGCTATTTTGTAACGTATGACATCAAGTGTACTGTTTTAGGGAGTGATACACAGTGTATTTTGAGATGGTAGAGGTGCTGGTCGCTTCTGTTAATTCTCCAATTTATCCATGACATTCAAAAACTATGTATCTATTAGGTTAATCTCATGTTGATCAGTTTCATTAGTTTGAAGAAATTTTTATTTAGATTTCTTGAATGAAAACAATTGCTGTTTTTATTACCTAAGGTATTTTCATGCTGGTTTCATGGCTAAATTTCCCATTCAAGGTTACAAAAATCTTACATTCTGTTAAAATTTTAGTTTGACAGGCAGTCTTTGCTGTGTAAAATTGCTAATTTAAACTTTAAGTTTTATCTCATTTTATGAATCTTGTCAAGGTATGGATTTTCACCAATAAAATTGCTCAGTGTTGTATTAATATATTTTTTCTTATTTATCTTTAAAATTTTTTTCAAGGTACAGTGGCAGTCACGATTCTATTTAATATTGAATAGTGTCAAGCATTTTTGAAAATAGTTAAAGTAAACATCACTATAATAGAAATTGGCTTTGTTTATGGTCTGCAAAACAACATACTGAAAAACCAAATTCCAATGATTGTTTAATTATAAACAAGAATAAGATTTTTCCAGTTATTGGTGGAATCACGACTTTTTCTAAGCCAAAAATATCACTGGCTTAGGCAGCCCCCTGGTCCCCACGCCATACTTTCCAGCTTTTTCACTAAATAGAAGTCGCCCTCGTATGTAATATAATACCAGAATGCCACTGAGTGCTCCAAGGTAAAATCAAAATGCCATAGGCCAGTTTTAAATTATCAGACCTAACATTCCCAGATACAAGATTATAATCTGTGATAATTATATAATAGTTTTATTGTTAATCTGAAAAGTGAATCTCACATTCATTCAGGAAAACACACTGAACTGGTTTATGTAGAAAATACTGTATACCAAAGATACAAAATGAGTTTGAAAAAATATTACATTTACAAAAATAACCATCATAAATTTGATTTCATTATTTCTATGCTCAACAAAAAACAGAAAACAAAATACAAAATCAATACAATTGTTTTACAAAATTATCAAATTTCTATAATACAAATACTCTCAATAAATATTACAAATACAAATGGAACCAATACAGCTGGACAGGTTCTTAATCTTTTCACATTTAATAGCACAACTTAAGCTGCTGGTTGAATATATAACATGCAGATATTTCAGAATTTACAAAAACCTGTTTCATACAAGAAAATCAAAACATGCAAAATGATAAGTAAAAGAAATTATATTTGTTTAGTTAAAACAGTGTATCACTTTTTCAGTGTTTTTCAATATCACCTAATGCATGGATGATCTTATTGTTTTGAATAAGATTTTATACATGTTGTATGAAGGTTAACGATACCTTGTATTATTTTGATTCCATTAAAAAATTCTGTAATTTCTATAACTTAAAGACGCTGGCAAGGTGAGGTGCATATACACATCATTTTGTACATAAATAATACCGCATCTTTCACTCATGTTACTAAACATTATCAGGCCTGCTATTTACAATTGATATGTATTTCTCTTGTCCACTGACGTTTATATACAAAAGCATAATGATTAAATAATATTTTACACTCAAATTCTGTGTAAGTCCTGATTTTTTAGGTGTATTTACAAGGCACTGTCATGTTAGCTTCACATCATGTGATAATTATCAACAAAATGAGACACCTGTGGAGCTGTCTGATCAGTAGAATGCATTACCCCGTCACTTCCACACAGGCAAGGAGTTTCTGGCACTGGTTTTCACTGTTCCAGGTTTTGGTTTCTCCACTTTCTTGACCTGCTGGCTCTTCACAACTCTGCCTGGCTGCTGGGACGATTTCTTTCTCTCGTGTGACTTGAAGAGAAAAAATGAAGAAAAATTTACTAATTGTCCTCCTGTAACACATTCCATGAACCTTTAATAGTGTATTTAATGAACTTTGAAACATGTAGGAATGTTGACATAAACCACTTACTCTACCCCCCCCCCCCCACCTATACACAGAGAGAGAGAGAGAGAGACAGAGAGAGACTGAGACTCACACACCTGGAGACACTCCTCTCAGCCCCATTTTCTTACCTGCCACCTTGGCTCTGTCCCCTGAGAGTAGTTCTGATCAAGTTGTCTCCTGGCCTTGGGACTACTTGACCTCTGGTGACCCCGCCCTGCTGCATGCTGGGAAGGTCCCCTGCTGGGTGGACTTTGACCTTGTTGAGATCTAGGGGAAAATTTAACAGATTTCTTTAAACAATTTAACTACATGTAAATCTAGCCTGGCAATAAAAGCAGACACCTCTGTGGGGAAAGATCTGCAGAAATTCCAGAACAGTGAAAATATTGCAAGAAAACAAAGTAAATCCACTGTTGGAATGTTGACTATGTGAGATCATTAAACAAGTGTAATAAGAAGCGTTGGAATATCACACTCACTTTATCTAACAAATACACAAAGATTATATAATCATAACCTGGAAATAGCACTATATTACCACTTAAAATACAATAATAATAATAATTCCACTTAGATAAAAACTCACTTTCCCTGGACACCTCTCAGGTAGGAGATTACTTCCTCACTGGGTTGATGACCTTGACCTTCACTGTGACCTTGACCCTGTGGTTCCCCATTCCCCCTGTACACATCCAGTAGTCTGGTGATCTCGTCTACCTGTTCCACAGTGAGTGGGGCTGGAAATTAAGCAGGTAAATATCAAATGACAACATACATATCACTACACGCAATGTTTAGATATGAATGTTTAGCCTAATATTTAGTCTACTTCTAGAAATCATTGATGTTCAGCCCAATATATATTTAGCCTTACACCAGATATAGATGTTAAGCCCAGTACTTAGTACACTACTAGAAATGGATGCTGCTTTTCCTTCATTATCAGTGATATGGTGAATCTTTAGTGTTGAAATAAAAACTCTTCACCACCTCTATCCCTAGCAGTCTTGGATAAAGTCCACTCAGACCAGTGCCTACCTTGTTTCAGTGGAGGTTTCTGCGTCTCTTTCTGGTCTGTGATCACACTCTTCATGAACGCCATGGTGCGCGGTGGAGGCTGAATTAGAAGAAATTACAATACATAAAAAACTCATGATTGGCATTTTCTCAAAAAAAAAAAAAAAAAAAAAAAAAAAAAAAACTTAAAAAGCATGTCCAGGCAATGAAGATTGAAGTACTACTAATTCAAAATCTATTACAATGCTGCAATCAGTGCTGTTAAGAATGTTCAAGTAAGAAGCAGTAAATCTGACGTCAAAAAAGTATATCAAAATTGATGTAATTCCTGGTGTGCCCTAATAAAAACTCATTTATTACTAATGTTTATTATGAATATGCGATAAAGACATTCAATTTCTTTCGAATTTCTAGTGTCCCCCAATATAACATGATATTGATCTATTTCTGATATGCAATTAATATATCAATTTGAAAATGACACTTAATGTAATATCTAGTGACCCCTGAGATAATATAATTTATTTCTAGTAAGAATGAGATAGATATATTTCAATGTGTTCTAATGTCTGGTGTCCCCCAATATAATATAATATAATATAATATAATATAATATAATATAATATAATAATATAATATAATATAATATAATATAATATAATATAATATAATATAATATATCACTAGTACGTATGAGATAAAGCTATCCAAATGTGTCCCTTACCCTCCTGGCGCTGGTCTCTCCTCCTGGTCCTACCCTGGGGTCCTGCTGGGGGGCTGGTACTGGGGCTTTGGACTCATCTGAAATGTTGATAGTATAAATAAATAAATAAATAAATAAATAAATAAATAAATAAATAAATAAACATTTCCAACATCTTACATAACTCACTATCAAATAATATTTCATATTTTGTCTCTCCTTATTTTCTTCTCTCCTTCAACTGACAGAAACTCAAATACCTTGGTCCAATTTTGCACTGATCTGTATTAACCTTGCATTCCTCCCAAATCAAGCTTTTTAAATTTACCAAAATGCAAACCAGTATAAAACCCATTGTAAACTCTACATTTGCTATTATAAACCTAAGATAAGAAAAGAAACAATGTATCAATGTACCTTGATTGTCATCTTCCCCTGGCTGTGCTGGGTCTTGGAGTGGACTTCCTGGTGACCTGCCTAGCAACTGAAATAATCCGAGGACACTGGTCAAGGTAGCAATTGCTCCTGTACAGAACACTAGTCTATTACAAGCAATGACCATTGTGGTAAGGAATATATACATTCATGACTGGGAAAATAAGCTAATTAGCAGCACAGCTAACACAATCTCATCCAACACAATCACAACAAACAAAATCCCAAAAAGCACATTTCAACCCAAAAGAATCACAGCTACTACAAACAAATCCAGCACACCATATTCACAGCCGGCACAATCCCACCTAACACAGCCAGGACAATCCCAACTAACACAGCCAGCACAATCTCACCTAACACAACCAGCACAATCTCACCTAACACAGCCAGCACAATCTCACCTAACACAACCAGCACAATCCCAACTAACACAGCCAGCACAATCTCACCTAACACAGCCAGCACAATCCCAACTAACACAACCAGCACAATCTCACCTAACACAGCCAGGACACTGTGCTCCACCTACCACTTTGATATAGTGCCTCAGCTCATTCTGCCTGGATTCATGTGCATCAAATTTGTCTGAGATGTGACTGTAGTCCTCAGCTGCCCCCCTGCAGATAATTATTATTATTACTATCATTATTATTATTATTTTATTTTAACACTTGGAGATCCAATACAGATTTATGACCACAGAATAAACAAGAGCAACAACAAAAACTTCCCCTGGATCTCTTGTGCTTTGAAAGTTGAAAGTTTAATACTTACTTCAAAGATGATATAACACTTGCGGTGTCATCCAGAGGATGCATGCTGAGGTCTGTGTTATTCAGCTGCTGTGGATCAACTGGGAAAAAATAGAGAAAAAAAAACATAAAAGAAAATTATTAAAATTCAATCCTAAATTTTCCTAAAATGATGTAAAACGTAAACTCAAAATAGTTAAATACATCCAAATAATAATCAACTTTTGTATATTTTGTATATTTGTATTTGGCTGACTCACTGTTGTCATATATGTGTACTTAGTATATATATTGAAATTAATTTCTTGGATTACATGCTTACTGTTAACTAGGAAATCATTTGATACTCCATACACAAAACTGGTCCACAGAAAACTATGAACAGTGGCAAAATAGTGGGATAACTTACAAGTACTAGCGGTCTCGTCATGGTAGCCCTGCAGTGAGGAAAATTCCCCCATATTTTTCTGCTGAGTCATCCCAGGAAACGTTGCAACTGAGCCAGAAAAGGGTCCTGCTGAGGCATACCCCTGATCAGGAGCTGACCCTTGCTGAGGCTGCTGGATCCACCTCTGGAGATCCGCCATTTTTTGCTGAGTCATGTTCTGGTATTGTCCTACTGATTGGTTTACATTAAAATGTTGTTGTTGGTTTAATTGTTGTCGTTGCTGCAACTGCTGTTGTGGAAGCTCTGATTGTACGCTAGAATATCCTGATGTTGACATGGAGGCATAGCCACCCGGTTTTCCTGTCAGGGGAACTGAGACATTACCCTGATTGTGTGGCACCGAAAATGGAAGCTGCTGGGAAGCAGAAGATACTGGAGCAGCACCGAGATTCAAAAGTGGTTGTTGATAAATAAAAGATTGGGCCCCAGAAGAAGTCACATTTGGTTGCTGATAATTTGCACTTCCTGGCTGTTGATAATTTAAAGATCCAGCACCTGCAGATTGAACAAAATTCCCCGGTTGCTGATAAATCATGGATCCAGCACCACCATTAGATGGAACAGCTCTGGATGGTTGCTGATAATTCAAAGAGCTGGCACCTTGATACGGAATGGAAGTCCCTAGCTGGGAGCTACCGTGTACTGATGAATTTGGCAGAAGGACACCATCAGGATCCTGGGATTGGAAATTGAGCGAGTTGAAACTTGGGGTGACGGAAGAACCTTGGACGGAAGACGTGTGTGGCAAGTTAGCAGATCGCACAGTGGCTATGCTGGAATCTAGGTCAAAACCACCTGGAAACAATATTTTTTGAGACAAGATGTAACTTCTCAAAATATTTTTGCCACTGGTCTTCATTTATTTGTGAAAAGAATAACCTTGTCTCCTGCAAGTACGTCATACTGGCAACACCAACACCACCTGGTGGTCAAATACAGACCAGTAAACAACAATCAATGTTGCCCTGAAACTAATTTAATTCTTTACACTCTACTTAGCCTAAGAACATTTTAACAAGCCACACCATGAACTTAATTTATTTGAATTTTCAGCTCATTTAGATGTTTTTATCAATAAATAATTATTTCTTTTTTGTTTGACTAAAATTGAAGGTGAAAGAGGTGCAAGAACTTTTTCTCACCTCTTGGTCTTAAATCTGCTGAGCTGCTAATACTACCCCCCTTCTCCACTGGAAAACTAAAACAGATATTTCCACTGACAGTCACAGAAATATGTGTGACATATTAAACTGAGAAAATACATCTTTATAACAAACACATGAGATTAAAGGCATAATGATAATGAAAAAGGTGGCAGGGTCAGAATAAGGTTAACAACAGGACATTAGAAAAAAATTCAAACTTAGTTTACCAAGGCTCTATGAGGTGAATGATATGTTGTCTTCAAAGCAAAATCTCCAGCTGAACTTTTATATAAATGCAAGAATAGAAGGTTTCAACTTTAGGCACCAGTAACTACACACACCTCTTTAAAAACTTATTAATGGGTGCCACTCTGTCACTGGGGATGTCCAGTGCTCCTTGGGCCAAAGACTGACCCTCCTGACCCCTGCTGGTCAGTCTGGACGGAATGCTCCGACTGGTGTACAGGCTGAAGGCATCCTCCTTGTCTGGACTGCTCTGGACACTGCCTGGCAGAGTGGACGTGAAGCTCAGCTGCCCTGATTGTGTTAGGTGAGACTGCTGTCCTAGTTGTGTTGGTTGTGACAGGTCAGATTGTGTTAGGTGTGACTGCCTGGGTTGTGATTGTGCTGAATGTGTTAGTTGAGACTGCAGAGGCTGTGTTGAGTTGCTCCTGCTCAGAATACTCAAAGCATCACTGCAGTGACCCTGGAGCAGCTCTTGGAGTTTTCCTGTCATTTCTCTCCTGAATATAAGATACAGTGTTACACTTTGTAATAATAATAATAATAATAATAATAATAATAATAATAATAATGTTCAAATATTTTGAAAGTTCCAAGACAATTCTTTTAGCAACAACAAACCAGAATCACAGTTGGCTATTGAATCAATATCTCTTTGCTTTTACAAGAGGCAAACTTCAACTTTCATCACTTCAAATTATTTAAAGGTTCAGGAAGATTTGTCAAACCATTCTTTCGGAGAGCACAAATCAGACTTTTGGCTCATTTCTCAACTCTTCATGTTTCACACTTGGTACCTACCTAGCACTCTCTAACTTCTGCTTGGACTCCCTCTCCTCTGCCAAAGCAGCCCTCATTTGTGACAGCCTGGAAGATAATATACAATATATTTTATATGATGTTCATATCACACTTTCTAGGGAGGGAGGGTAGGGATCAATATCGATGAAACATAATGCAAAATTTGAGGGGGGGTGGGGGGGGGACGTGGCGGGGAAGGGCAGCTAAGAATCAGTTAAATATAAATACAATGCAGAAATGGAGGGATCGGCTACCGTTAAAAATAAATAAAAGGAAAAATGGTCTCCCATAAGTTGAGATCATCTTTCTAATCACCTGTCTTCATAGGCCTGCAACTGTTCCTTGGTCTGGGCCTCCTTCCTCTGAAGTTCCTGGTTAAATGACTGCAGCTGCCGCGCCATCTCTGTGCTGTGGCGCTGGTTCAACTCCTGGACCTGGTGGAGAATGGGGGAGTATATATATCACAACCATTTATGTCATGTAGCATGTAATGATTCATATCTAAGATTATTCAGGTTAAACAAGAGATGGCTGAGTTTGTCAATGGGGAACGGGACGAAAGGAAGCTACTAAGTTCTATAAAGAATGTAGAGTATAACAACATGAATGGCTTGAAAACTGGTCTTATGTGTCAGGTACAAGGTTAATATTATCATAAAAATAAACATGATCCACAGTCCCAAGTTGTGTGCTATCACATAGACTGCATTCCCATAGATTTAGATCGATCCATCTAGATCGACCTAACTCCCTGGGGGTTCACGCTAAATTGCTGTCAGCCGAGCACGAACGGTAGTCAATTACCCCCTTACAGCTTTTAGTAGGCAGGACAGACATTTAAGGCGAGTACGCTGACAGTAATCTAGTGAGACTCCCCACAGGGATAGATTGATCTAAAATCTGTGGGAATGGGGTCATAGTGTCAATTCTACAAAGTTAGTACAACTTCAAACTGATGTCTGTCCAAAACACCTCACTACAACACCACTGTTATCACCCATAGAAAGCCACACGCTAAGTAAAAATTCACAGTGAATGACCTGTTTGCGATGCTCCTCCCTTATCTTTCCCTCCGATTGCGCCATCTTTTCGTGCACCTCAGCCAGTTTGGAAGTCGTCTGTTTTTCTAGGTCGGACTGCAAGTCAGCCTCCAGTTTACGTTTGGCGTTCTCCAGCCTGGCCTCGGACAGACCCATCTCTACCTTCAGGTGATCCTAATAGCAGATGGGAGATTAATAAACACTTTTTACATAATTTTGCATAATTATTATGATGTTTCACAAATGAGTGATACCAAAAGGTGTTTAACACCACTTATATGTTATAGATGATCCACTCACCCTCTCTCTACACGCTGTATCCAGGTCTATCTTCAGCTGTTGAAGTTCTTTCTGTACAGAGGCAAGAACGTCCTGACTCTCCTGTGCTATCTTCATATGCTCCTCTGCTTTGCTCTGAGATTTGAAGAAAAAAAATACTCCAAGATAAGTAATCACAACCCAGCAACTACTAAGACATCAATTACTGATTTCCAGTCATCCTTTCTGAACTCGAACAAAATATTTGTTAATACCAGATGCTCTAATTTACTACAAGGAATGTTAATATAGTATTCTTTACAGGTTCAAAATAAATTAGCAATGCTGTTATTATGCAGCTGTCCGGCAAACACCAAATGTCATTTAATTCTACAGCTGGACGAGCACCGACAATCTATGTGACCTTCACCCTCACCTTCTCTTGCTGTACAATTCTGTCCTGTGTCGTAGTCAGCTCCTCTAGCTGCTGCCCAATCTCACGCTCTCTCTTCTGCCATCCTGTCCTCTCCTGCACAGGAAGGTACAAAACACAGACACACAATGTTTTGAATCTTTTATATATGTCATCAATCAGTAAAGCATATATTTAGAGACCATTCCCACAGATATTTAGATCGATCTATCCCCCTGGGGAGTCTCACTAGATTGCTGTCAGCTTAACTGGATGGATTGATCTAAATCTGTGAAAACCCAGTCTTATACACATACAAAATATTGTTTCCTGCTTTTATATCACAAATCTCCATTCTCTCAGAATCCTCTGCTTATAAAGCTGTGCAACCTTTCAACATTTTATTGCAGATGGTGACGAATCTCAGGAACCATCAAAATTGAATTAAAAAGTTTCCACGAATAAAAGCTCATGTCTGCATGTTCCTTATTTGAGCACCCCCCCACCCCCACCCCACCCACCTCATTCAGTGTCTCCTGAAGGCTCTCCAGCTGTTTGGCCACATGCTCTCTCCCCTCCACCGCCCTGTCCCTCTCAGACTCCATTCTACGGGCGCAATCACGCTCAGCCTCCAAGGACTCTGTAATGATGGCGTATTCTTCCTCGTGGCGGATGAGCTGTTGAAAAGAAGGCAATTACTACAAGGTGAATACCTCAATGGAACAATTATAAGACTCTGACTGATGGAGTCAAAGAGAATAATATTGTTAAAGAAATATGTAATAGGAAATAACAAAATGTAAACCAGACATGATCATATTTCACTGTAAACAAAAAATAAAATGAAGAATAACATTAAAAGAAACTTTTAATGGTATTCCGAATAAATAATCTGAAATCACCTGTTGCTTTCTTTCCTTCTCAGCTAGTGCTGCCCTCTTTTGCTCTGCAGTCAAATCATCTACAGCTTTCTGCATCTCTCTTTCAAACTTGCTCAACATCTACAATGTAACAGCAGATATCTTTGATATTTTGTCAGATAACATGAAGCACCGGAGCTGTGTTATTGTAAAGTATAGAAGATCACATCAAACTGGAGTAACAGTTTAATGTGATAAGTCTTATTCCTCCCTTTATTTAAAGGGGAACTTATCAATCAATCAATTTTCATGCTGAAAACTGCCACAATACTTTCTCCTCTCCACTAAGAACTGATCGTATCTGGAGTGTGGTGAAATACACCTCACCTCCTGTTGCTCTGCCAGTGCCTTTTCTGCAGCTTGTTTCTCGGCATTCAGTTTTGCCAGGAAGTCTTCTTTCTCTGCTTCTCTTCTCTTCCAGCCCTCTGCTACCTTGGCCAGGGTCTGGAAGAATACAAACAACCAACTAGTACACACATAAATGCACGCAGGCATGCACGCACGCACACACACTAATACCCCATTCACACTACAGTTGCAAAAATGCGCATTTCTATAATCGGAATTTTTCGTGAGGAATTCGATTCGGTATTGCGTTCACACACGCTTAAGCGAAACCGAATTACACGTTGAAAATTTCAGGTTTAACTTCCTGTTTTGAACACTTGCGCATGCGCTGCACAGGAAATCTTAAAATACCAACAAAAATTTGTGACGACAAATGCAACTCTAAAGACATTCCAGCATTCTTGAGAAGTATAACATGGCAAAATAAGTTTGTTTCCTCATGTTGTAGTGAGTAGTGACCTCCAAATACGTTTGGTGCAATCGCTAAAGTAATAAACAAGCGTTCATAGATACCCGCACTTATCTGCACACATGCGCAGTTAGATCTGTACAGGTGTCGATTCCGGTAAGTTATCCAGATCGCGCTTAGAAATCCACCTCGCTTGCAGGATTTTGAAAATGCGCATTACAAAAATCCTCTTGCGTTCACACTACTGCATTTATTCGAATTGTGACCTAATTCGCAATTTATCCGGATAAATGAGCGTAGTGTGAACGGGGTATAAGACTTTTTCCAGCTGTCCAGCCATAATTTGGACAGAAACTGGCCTCAAAAGATGGCTTATATTTTCAAGGATAGCTGGACAGCCTATGGAATTTTTTGGGATGGTTTGGCTTGCTGGGGTTGGACTCACTGTAGATACGTGACCAAGTAACAGATTCACATTTTGGACTCCCTGTACCTCAAATCCTGGGAAAACCCCAGCATAACACACTTGGTATTCATGGCACGTAAATCACCTAACACCAAACACACAAATTATAACAATTATGATAAAATTATTATCTTTTATAACAATAGATCAAAGGATTCACAAATAAACTGTAGTACCTTGTCAAGTTGTTCTATCATGATGTCTTTCTTCTTGTCTGTGGACACTGCCACTGCCAGCTGCTGCTGCGTCTCCAACATCTGAAACAGTGAAATTACATGGGAAATGTGCTCAAGTTCCACTGCAGTAGGGAAGGAGCAGTTGGAGTCTCAGTTTCTTCATTGATATCCAAGTTCCACACATGCCTGTCTGTTGCATCTTAACTAAGCCAAAATATTAGCTGATAAAGTACTTATTTTAACTACTTTCCAAGCTATTAACAAAAGAAATAAAAAAAACTATATTTCTATTAGAATTACTTTACAGCTGGCACTTATTGCACTCACCTTACTCTGTAGATGCTGTATTTGCCTTTCACAGTGCTGGAAACAAAATAAAAATCATGTAAATAAGTCATAATTAGACTAGGAGGATACTAGAAAATTCCATCACTTCTGGTATTATATACTGGATTTACGTCACTGCTTATGTTTCAATTTGCTGTAATATCTGACAATAAGGCGCGCTCATATTATTTTGAAAATGGTTTTTTAAAGTATTTTCTAGCATACTTCACATTTTTCACTACCTGAAAGCAGATAAATCATCCTTTTCTGCATCTAATGTTATCTTTAAAAAATCTTTTTAATTAATCTTTTTAAAAATTTTATAGAAAGACATTTCGCAATTTTCCCAATCTGCAATCTTCCTCAAACACCTCACACACCTTCCTTCTGTACCGTTCCTTCTCCAGAGTCTCTCTCAACACTTGATTCTCTGACAGCAAAGTCACATCATTCCTGTACCCACTGCTTCTGGAGTGACCACTGCCACCCCTGGGCCCCCCTCTCTCCGTGCCCCACCCTGGGGGCAGTCCTAGGACCTTCTCGAGGTGAGAGGTGAGGTCGGTGCCTGGACTGTCCACCGTCGTGCTGTCCAGCAGGCTGGTCACGTCATCCACAGGGTCAAATGTCGACTTGTCTGGAAGAAAATCAGTTTCTTAGATGTTGGGTGTGCTTTCATAAAAATAATGCACCAAATTGTAACTCAGAGTTGAATAAATGTTCCCAAAACAAGTCAGAACTAGAATTCACAGGGTCAGAGGTTGGCTCATCTGTAGAATAAATTAAAATCAAGAGAATCAAAACAGCGATACCGCCACCAGATATTGTATCATGTCAGATTAAGCACATTCATGTTGAATAAACAACATCCTTTAAGACACTGCTGGTCAACTTGGATCGAACCAAACCCTGCAGGGAACTTTGTTGACNGTTAGAAAGACATTTCACAGTTTTCCCAATCTGCAATCTGCCTCAAACACCTCACACACCTTCCTTCTGTACCGTTCCTTCTCCAGAGTCTCTCTCAACACTTGATTCTCTGACAGCAAAGTCACATCGTTCCTGTACCCACTGCTTCTGGAGTGACCACTGCCACCCCTGGGGCCCCCTCTCTCCGTGCCCCACCCTGGGGGAAGTCCCAGGACCTTCTCGAGGTGAGAGGTGAGGTCGGTGCCTGGACTGTCCACCGTCGTACTGTCCAGCAAGCTGGTCACGTCATCCACAGGGTCAAATGTCGACTTGTCTGGAAGAAAATCAGTTTCTTAGATGTTGGGTGTGCTTTCATAAAAATAGTGCACCAAGTTGTAACTCAGAGTTGAATAAATGTTCCCAAAACAAGTCAGATCTAGAATTCACAGGGTCAGAGGTCAGCTCATCTGTAGAATAAATTAAAATCAAGAGAATAAAAACAGCAATACTGCCACCAGATATTGTATCATGTCAGATTAAGCACATTCAAGTTGAATAAGCTATGGATGTTTGTTTTTTTTTTACGCTTTAAGCCCCATCCTTTAAGACACAGCTGGTCAACTTGGATCGAACCAAACCCTGCAGGAAATTTTGTTGACTCTCAGAAAACATCTCTTTATTGGCCTCTGAGCATCGGCCTCTGAGCTCCATCTCTCTAATACTGTGTACATGGAGCACTTACCCAGTACATTCTGTACACTGGTCTTCAGCATGGTGTTCAGATGACCTCTGACCTGCTCCATCTCTCTAATACTGTGTACATGGAGTACTTACCCAGTACATTCTGTACACTGGTCTTCAGCATGGTGTTCAGATGACCTCTGACCTGCTCCATCTCTCTAATACTGTGTACATGGAGTACTTACCCAGTACATTCTGTACACTGGTCTTCAGCATGGTGTTCAGATGACCTCTGACCTGCTCCATCTCTCTAATACTGTCACTGGTAACATGGCTGACATCCTAGAAATATCAACAATAATCAACAGAGACTTTTTAAACATCACCAAATGAATGTAATGAAGGTTTTGAACCAAAATTAATGGAGACTAAGGAACAAGTGCTGTTAAGTTGGGATTTGGATTCCTGTGTTAGAGGGTGTGCAGCAATTTTGGCCATTTTAGCATTCATGGCACAGAACACAATTAGTATTCTTACTATTAATAACTTTATGCACCCCCTCAACCCCCCCACCCCCACCACCTGTCCCCACTTTCTTAAACCTAAAGATTTAATAACATGTGTAACTGCTTACTTGCCATCTCCATCCTTATTCAACCTGATATGACACATCAAGTTTTGACACATTAATTCAGTTACTTAACACATTAAAACAGGAAATAGCACAGCGATGGTTCACACCACAATCCTTCCATCTCTCACCTTCATTTCTCCTCCAGATGGGGGCAGTAACCCCTGAATGGTGGCCTGGGCTGCTGCCACCCCCGGGGACTGACTGAGACCCCCCTTCCTTCCACCACCCCCGCCCTGCTGGTCCTCGGCTCTGGAAACCCTCCAGGAATCCTCTCGACTCCTGGAATTTCTGGGATTATTCCAGGATGAAACATTGCTGGACTGAGGGTCCTGGAGAATAACAATACGCATCACTGCAATGAGGAACACATGTGAGGAGAATTAGTCATGATAACATGGGAATAAGATCAATTACTGTATGTTTTACTGAAACCTGTGATGCATCTTCATACAAAATCAATCTACAAAACAAAAACAGCCTTCACCTAAAACAGATAAAAAGCTTGACAAAACACACTGCAGTTAATGGGAGATTTGGTTTTTGTTTCCCACCAATATACATAGAAACAGCCCCACCAATTCAATATTTAGACTAAATAATCCAATCAAATCTCACATTCACCTTGACATGTGCTCTGTGGCTATAACTGGTGGGATCAGAGGAGACATCCCCTACAGAACCTCTCACTGGCGACCTTGAAGGTGACCTTGACCTTGACTGTAAAGGTGACCTGAGTGGCGGTGACCTTGGACGTGGTGAATGTGCTGACCTTGGTGGTGACCTTGACCTGTGCAGTAAAGGTGACCTTGGAGGGGATACAGACCTGGACTGTAAAGGAGACCTGGGCGGTGACAATGGCCTTGACGAGGTTGTGGTCCTTGGTGGTGACGACCTTGACCTTGTGCTCTCTGACCTATACGTTTGACCTGTTGACCTATCAGATGAAGTCAGCCTATTTTCACTCTTGTGTGCAGTTGACACAGGAAGCCTGTCTTGGCGGATACTGCCACCACTGACGTGACTGGCAGAGCCCCTAGTGGTGCTGGGCGATAGTGTCCTGCCTGTCCTAATTTCAGCGTACAGTTTCTCCGCAGAATTACTTTTTGACCCCATACTGGTGACAACGTCACTCACCGGAGAAGTTTGAGACCTGGGAGGTGTCCCAGTGACACCAATTACCAAAGCAGAATCAAAGTTTTGTGATTTTAATGCACTGCAGCTTGGTGCAGAGTAAACATCAGAGTATGAGGACTGGTCCTGTGACTTTGGCAGCTCTGACCTTGACCTACTTCCAGAATGTCCCTGATCTATTTCCAAAGTTGTTCTTGTGTAATCTCTTGATGGTCTAGGGTCATTTCTAGGACTAAGGACGTCTCTTATTGGGCTCCTAGGTCTGTTCCGTATGTGACTGTCAGTTACTGGTGACCTTGACCCCTGTCTGTTATCCTCTAAACCACTGGTCTCTACTCTCAACTCACTTAAACTCTTGTCTCTATCAACATCCCTTGACCCTCGCTGTGTGTCCCCAAACAACTCAGTTCTCACATCAAAGTTTACACTGGGTTTATCAACAGCATTCAGAGACCTAGATCTCGATCTGTCAACATTTGTCAAGTCTATAAGATAGGCAGAAGAGGTGGAAATGGTAGCGCCTCTTTCTTGAGAGGGTAGTGGAGTATTTGGCAATGACCTTGGACCATCACTTGAATATCTGTCATAAGTTCCAGCAGCACCTAGTTTTTTCCTTGCTGCTAGTTGTGGGCTCCCTATATCTCCTGAAAAAATAATCAACTAGTTCTGAGAAAAATTTCTTCAAGAATATATCAGTTACGAATGATCAGTCTTATTCTTTCATGTAAGCTAAACTTTATCTTTTGAAAAAATAGGAGATAAAAGTGATCTTTAAGAAACTAAAAAATTCAAATATAATGTAGGCATGTAGCTCTATGTTGGGGTATACTGAGTAGTGAACATGGCCTCTTAGAAATTATTCATAAAATAGCTTTTTCATCTGGATGAATTCAGAAGACATTCAACTTTGTTTCATAATATAAAATTTATGTGAAAAATTCTATCCGTGTGACTGAAATATCTAACACACACACATTAGTGCCTTACCAAGTCTTTTCTCAGTGTATGTCACAGTCTCTGCACTAGCTAGGTTTGACACACACACACACACACACACACACACACACACACACACACACACACTCTAGTGCCTTACCAAGTCTACCTTTATATGTGACAGCCTCTGGGCTAGCAGGGTTCAACACACACACACACACACACACACACACACACACACACACACACACACACACACACACACACACACACACACACACACACACACAGACACAGACAGACACAAACACACACACTAATGCCTTACCAAGTCTACCTTTATAAGTAACAGCCTCTGAGCTAGCTGGGTTCAGGGGATAATTTGGGCTGGCATAGGGGCTGAGTTTGGGAGATGAATGCAGGCTGCTAACATTACTGATAGGTTCAACGCCACTCAGCAGTTCTTCTGTGTCTGCATCAGAGAGTGGTGTGGTGTTTCGCATGTGCGGGTCCATGTTTACAGTTGGTGCACGCGTCTACATGTGACAGGTGAAAGGTGATACTGAATATGAAGAGGTCTGTGCCTGGAGAATGGAAAGAGAAGAAAATAATAAGTGAAATATTATTGGATACAGCTTAATTGTTAATCGAAAGACACACAGAAATTGAAGTGCCTGTCAAACTAATGCACTTCATGTGCTCTAGTGATATTAAATAAAAAAATACATGAGTAAAAGTGGTATAAACTGAAAGTCTTGATAATGAAGCTTGCAATTTCTCTGCACATATAGACCGTATAAAAAACGATCAAGATGAAGACTGAAAATACTGAAATCTAGCATAATCTTGAAAACTTTCCCCCATGAAAATCAGGTCTCATAATAATATTTTGTTACTAGTACAAACTTTGAAGATAAGATGACATACTGTTCCAAATAATAATCAATCAATCATTCTAAATAAGTGGCATGAACAGTCTCACTCTATAGATATAACATTTCAATTTTTGGATATCCTAAATAAATTGACTAAATCTAAATACATTGGTTTTAACATCACTTTTTGACAAATAAAAATCACAATAAACACTGTGAATTTATGATGTCATTATCAGAAACATGTCTAAAAAACAAGAGAGAACGAAACAATACGGTGTGACGAAAAACTGCAATCAATATGGTGCAAATCAAATGAACTTAAATCCACTAATTACGCAAAACAAGCACATTGTTTACCTTGGCGAGATTCGAAATCCGTTGCAACATTTCCAGCCTCGTTTTCGATAGGGAACGCACTTGTTTTGATTCGGAAACGAGGCGACCTATATATTCCTCCGCCAGCTGAGACTAGGGTATCGGGCTGAATACAAGATTTTCCCCATCAAACTGTTATAGAAGTATATAAACGAATATTAAAGTCAATACAACAAGAGAAGACACGTATTTACGAGAAGTTTGAAAAGATATAAGCCACACTATATTCCTTGGGTACTTACTTCCTCCAGGTGTTCTGCGGCTAGGAAAGGAGGCTGTCTGCAAATGACGATGATGTTACCAATCTGAATCGATTTTATGTTCATCGACGACTGAGATACAACAAGAATCGTTCTAGGTGAACAAGAGATGGCCTTTCTTTACTGTAGTAAATGAAGACTAGTGACTTAATTTTAGTTGCTGAAATTACTTACGTGTTATACGGAAAAAGAGGTTGGGGGAGGGGGGGGGGCATTTCCAGTTAAACCAAACACTACCTCAGCGTAAAAACGGATATATCTTGTTAATATCTGGAAAATGCCTTCATAATTTGCATATTTTTGATCAAAGTGTTTTCTTTATGTATAATAATATTTGATTAATTTACCCTTTCAGTAATTTAGGATACAATGACGGTCTTCAACCTGTACATATTTGACAGGAATGGTACGTGTCTGTACTATGTGGAGTGGAATAGGAAGAAACACTCGGGTATCGCAAGCCAGGAGGAGGTACTAAGACACCACATGTCCTTTAGCTGTGTATTCCACACAGTTTTTTACTCAAGAAATTGGGGCCTGGTTTGCAAATGAACTTAAAATTGATATCAACTTTAAGGTTGAAAAATGACATTATTTATTTATTAATTATTATTATTATTTTTTTTTTTTTTTTGGAAATTAAATCATTTATGTCTAGTATAAATAAATATATAATTTAATATTTAATGATTAGATAAAAACAATAACATGTCCAGTAGTAAGATTTTGAGTTGACTTTTCAGGAGTTCAAATTGATGTATGGGATGATTTTCTCCATCAAGTCTTTTGTCAACAGGATATCGCCATCTGATTTGTATCCTTGACACTTACTATAACAGGGGTATTACATCTCTGAACACTGTCTCAGGTGCCATTCAGAATAGATGATCTGAGTACTAACTGATCCGCCGATTTAATATGGCTGACCCATCTTCAAAAGTGATGCCGCTAATTCCATGTTAGTCTCCCTGCCTCCACTCGCGCCGTTGCTGCAAGGGCCTGGTAATAAAACCTTGGAGCCAAAATTTAATCCGTTAATGGCATGAGTGGAGGCGGGGAGACCATTGGGTATCAGCAGCATCGCTCGGATCATCTCTTCTGAATGGCCCCTTATGTGGTAAATATTCAGCAGATTAAAACATAATTAGTTAATTGTTACAGAAGAAAAGTCTGCTGATGATACCCAGAAGAGATAGTTTAAAACTTTTTTAAAAGGAAGTTGGATCAAGTCATTTGAGTTTTTGAATATTATCTATGATGTTTATATTTAGAGAGTTATTATCATGCTTCACCTAACTGACACTGTCCGTGTTTGATACCCTGTCCAAGGTCTTTACTTTTGAGCCCTGTACCTGGAAAGCAATGGTGACTTAAGTTGTTGCTTTTTAAGAGATGACACCACAACTGCATTTCTTAATCTGAAACCACAGTTTTCTTACCCACTCATTACTTCACTTCATTCCACCTTAACTGTGTGTCACCCAGAAAAGATGGCTTCTCAAGCTTCAAGACAAGTCGATACAAGTGCAATTTCTATGAAACTCCGAGCGGTTTGAAGTTTATCCTAAACACAGACCTCAACGTGGGAAATATTAGAGATGTCCTACATCAACTCTATAGTAATGTATGTGGAGAGAGTTCGTTTCAGTTTTAATAAGTTGATAAGTCAGACTCGTAGCCAGTGATTTCAAAAGGGGGGTTCTTCTTTTATAGAAAAAGTGGACCTTTTATGATGAAACCTTTGTGTACCTAGATCAAATTGTACCCAGAATGGACCTTTTTCTGACAAAAAGGTGGTTCTTTCGAACCCCCTAAACCCCCCTGGCTACGGGCCTGCAAGTACAACATTATCAAATGTACACGTAAAGATTCCTTTGAATTGCACTGAAAAGTGCCTTGATATAATAATAGTACAATAATCAACACTAGATAGGTTACTTGATGATGAATACTCATTTCCAATATGATACTTTATGCATGTATACTATTACATTATATTAATTTTTCCATTTTCAGATATATGTAGAATATGTAGTGAAGAACCCACTGTGTGAGTTAGGACAGCCCATAAAGAGCGATTTGTTCAAGACAAAACTGGATGAATATGTCAGGAACTTGCCAATATTTGCAACAAAAACAAACTAGTTTAAAAGAAAAAGAATTTCAGCAAATTATAAAAGTCATCAAGGAGAAACATCCGTAATGATGCAAATTGGGTAATAAAAAAATGATAGAAAGTTTCCAAGAGAAATGTTTCAAAAATCGCAAATAGGGCGAACATGGAGTAGACCAGTGGCGGCAATACTGAAGACAATGACAGACAATGGCTACAGGAAATAGTGAAAAGCTTAGTCAGAAAAGTGGTTGCCATTAGGAGGAGAAGCCTGAACCAGTGGCTAAACAACTATTTTAAAGTTAAAATCTGAAGTCAGAATGAATATGCTGATAAAATTAAATATTGGCAAAATAACAGAATGTATCTTTTGTAAGAAAATGTTATGGACAACTTTGTGTTTCATATGTAAAAAATAAAACTATAATCTGTACACTATGTAAGATGGTATTTTATCATATGATAAAACAGTGAGACATCATTAGTTACATATGATTATCAGAGCACAAAGAAATGCTGCAGGACGCTACACATCTACAGGAATCAAGGCAGTCAACACTGATAAATTTAATAATTCAAGAAATATAAATGACTATGAGTATAACGAATCTAACACAGTGACCGGGGGAGGGGGTGGGGTGGGCAATATCGGCCTTCTACCCGCGTTTGTAATATGAATATTTATTCACGTTTTTCTTTTTGCTTTCGGACGAAGCAAAGTACAGCAATCTTGTGAAAGCATTAACGAACAATCTGTAAACTGGATTAATTATTGAGCTGATATTGTGACAGGGTTTTTTTTCTCCAAGAGCTCTCCTCTTAATGCGTTCCATAATTATTTATCAGAAGTTTGGTGTGAATGCTGTACTGTACGATTACCAATGGGTACCAGTCACTGAGTACCATCAGAGACGTCAATAACAACCAAATCCCTTCAGTCACATAACTTATGATAAGGTCAGCTCTGTTTTTGTACCCAGAGAGACAAAACTTTGGAATCAACAACTTCCTCTATTTGCTCTTTTAGGAAGATAAGGGTTACCGGGTATATTGTGTTTGCACTGTGGTTCTTTATCACGTGTGACCTGAATTCCGCCTGACGATTGTAAAATGTCGGCTGTTACGTTACTAAGAGCGCTTTCACACCGCACTTCAAAATATCGACATCGGCTTATACCTAGTCTACAGAATTTTTTGCCCTCTTTTCCACCACTAGTTTTATTTATTGGTTTAACTTTTTAGTCATTAACCCCGGTGAGCATTAGCCATTCACAGAACATAATAGCCATTATATACGGCCCCTGAACATGGATACATTACATACTAGTAGTACGGAATAAACGAAATAACGGAAAAAATCATATAAGTCTGATTTTCACCACTTAATTAAAATAACGAGAGTGGATCTCTTACACCGCAAGTCAACGTAAAACACACCAACAATGTTCTAAGCGACACTATCGCTGTTTATGAATAAAGTCATGTAAATGCACTGTGAACGAGGTCTTAGATAAGACTGCGAGTCACGATCACAAAGATGGAGGAAGTGCATCTTTTATTGCGTTTATCGTTTTTTCTTCTAATTCATTCAGGTAGGGAATGTTTTTACTACCTTTTCCGTCTCTGGTCGAAAAGGGTTTTATTCTGTCTGTGCTAGTCAGATAAAAATCACGTATAGAAATTTTGATTTTAACAACTTAAACATGTTCCTTAAAATTCGAAGAAGTTTCCCTTTATAGTTTTCATGGTATTGCGTTTGGTACAAAAAAAGTTAAAATTTGATAGCTTAAGTACTGTAAGAAGACTAAGAAGCAACGGGTGCTCATTTTAGAACTCGTTGAAAACCACAAGTTGGTTTGAAGCCGTTTCAGAGGTTCACCTGAAATCTCACCCAAAACTCACTAATCAATAAATGGTGTCTAAGGTACTTGAATTGTCTCTTTTTTTTTTTTTTTTTTTGCATTGTTATAAAACTTCGTGGCTTAATCTCGACCAGAATCAATTTCCACTAATTTCTAGAATATAATTTATTATTTTGCCTTAAAGGGATAACAACTGTTGTAAGATATCAATATTTCACAATAAATACATCATAAACGACTCATAAAAATATAATAAATTCTATTTTACCACCAAAACGGCAGTTAACACAATTATTCGGGAATTTGTGCTTGCCATCACGTCACGTGACCTCCATAAACGGCTACACTCTGTAATAATCTCTTGAGAGAATATTACGAAAAACCAAACTTTTTTTAAAAAAAAAACAGGGACTAACTTTGAATGTGGGAATGGATTCATTCACCACTGGTAAGTATGGGAAAATTGTCCATTACCCCCAGGAAAATTCATTTTTTGGACAAAATGAACAGTTGTTATCCCTTTAAGTTACACTCGTCAAAACAAACTTTATGCGGTGACATAAGATTACAAACAGGATATTGCAAGTCATAGTGTTATCATATGACCTGAATGAAAATATAATGATAAACTTATTAGACTGATTAGTGGTTATACCGGTCTGGAAAAACAACTTGGTTTTTCATATTCATGACAAGGACATCAGAAATGGACAATTTTGTTACCAAAATGGAAAACTAAGGGACCATGGAACTCTTTAGAACCATAGGCTTACTGCTGCTTATAAAAGTTTCAATAACGTACTTGGCCATAAATCCTTAGCTTTTTTAATAATAATAAACACTTTGTTTTGAATATCATTTCAGTTATTTATTTTAATTGTTGGTTTTAAGTTATTATAAATTTTACTTTACTTTATCACTGTTTAAATATGCCGTATCTATTGTATGTAGACTAAAAAAAACTTGCACTTGCTGATGATTACCTCCCGTTGCCTAACTTTTGTCGTTTGGAGTCTTATATCAATCTTCTCGGGTAACCATGGCAACCCTTCCATACTGCGCCAGGTAAGACGCTGGCAAAGACACAGGGACGTCAACAATAGGTTCTGTGTCAATCTGCTTGGAGAAGCATGAATATATAGAAATAAACAATTATGCGAGGGCGAGGAGGGGGGGGGCAGTGTACTTTTATATATTTTTCAACACTGGATAACACTAAAAGAATGGCGTAAACGTTGGTATCCTTCAGAATACATGTCCAACTAACGATTAACAGATCAACATATACTAATTCAGTGGCGGATTTAGGGGAGGGGTGTCAGCCCCTCCTCCCTTTCGACCTCTTAAAAAAAAAACACACAAATATTCCCCTCTTGAAATTAGAATTTTGACAAGCTGAATCATAGTTCGATCTAAACTGTACGAAATAGAACCGTTCGCCCTCTACAATACAAAAAAAAAAAAAAAAAAAAAAA